TCAAATGAGAAGCGCAATTTTGACATCTCTGTCGTATTGCTTTACTTAAGTTAGGCTGTAACATATATTTTTCAAGAGAATTCAAAGCAGTAATTAGTACATTTTTCTATCTAATAAAATCATCTTTATTAGCGTCTGAGTTGTAATAGGCTTTCCATAAATCGCGTATTGTATTTTCAAAATAAGAAATAGAAGTAATTGTAATGAAAATACGCGTAGGATAACTTGTAATACTACTACTACTACTTGCACTACTACTACTTCTACTATTAGTATTACTACTACTGGTTGTCACTGTTAAGAAAGCTAGTGAAGCGGGCTGTCTCGAAAGACTGCGCTCTTTTTCAATCGAGCACGGCTTTTAAGCACTATGGTGGCGCTGAAAGCAGTGGTTAATAAATCGAAATTCTATACTTTGAAACCCTAAAATGTGTCGATAAATTCTGCAAATAAAATTTGCCTCTATTCATTTCGAAAATTTCGAATTGTATGTTATTGGCCGGAAAAACTTTCTTAAACATGTAGGTTTAGATGCACAAACAATGCAATCTGTAATTCTTTCTGCAATATTATGCAGCCCATCTACACTACTTTATTATCTTCAAAAATGTTTATCACGTTCTACTATTTCAGTTTATCAAAAAAAATTAATAGAATGGGCTTTAAAAACGATAACAGATATCTATATAAAACATGTTCAATATAATGCTATCAAAACAGAAAAGGAACTTGTACAAACGGACCCGCATCAGCTTGTCATACATGTGAACTTCGCAGAAAATTGGGCAGTCTTTTCAAAAAATACGGTTCAGGAGAATCATTTGGAAAATAAGTAAGTGTTAATATTTACAGCAGTCTCTTATAAAGGTGGTCTAACAAAAAATTATGCTTTTGTTAGTGACGATTTAAAACACGATTCAGCTCATGCATTGTTTACACTGAACAATTATAAATTCTTATCGATCGGCTAATGATTGTTGTTATACTATTACAATAATTTCTCATGGAGCTGCGAGTCAGTATGAAAATCGGTTCCAGCGGTTCCAAGTATATAAAATGAAAAATATCGCAAAGCGTCTTTCAATGAAATAGACATTTTCTGGTACAGGTTATGGCAAAGGACCAGTAGGTGCTATCGGAGGATGCGTCAAACATTTTATTATTATTCACAATCTTCAAAAAGATCATCTAGAATCCATTCAGTACCCATTTGTGACAACAATTCAAACATATATTCCTTAAATACGATTAGTCCTGCTAAAAGTTGAAGATGTAACGAGCTTCAGGTAACTGACGAATAAAGAATTAATTTAAGAAGAGAAAATTAATTTTATAAACTAAAACTTGCGACCAATCAGAGCGTCGTTTTGGTCGAATGCAGATTTTCTCCTCGTTCGCTGCTATTCTCGTTACTCGGCTCTGGCAACTAAGGTGGCAGCCTTCACAGCGCGGGTCTGCAAGTCGAAATTATTTGGAATATTATTAAAATATTAAATTTGAAATTGAATAGAAAGAGACATTAGCGAATGATTTAGATGTTATTCAACATTTAGCTGTACTACAAAAATAATTACTTCACTATTTTGTCAAAATCCTTCTATAATGTATCATTGGAACAAATCGATGTGTTAGCAACTAATTTTTGTTTATAACTAAATTACTTATATTCAAGTTGTTAGTCAATAATAATATTTTACGTGGCCATGGCGAAAAATAAGTTCAATATAGTGTTATGGAAAGGTCATCCGAGAAAATAAAATGAAGGCCAACAAAAAACGTTAGATGTAATGGAAAGAAAGTGGAAGCAAAATTTGGTAGAAAATGGTTCGAAGTAGATGTAATAAGTAGATGTAATAGATAAATAGCAAGTAGCAGTACTATAAGTGAACATAATTTTTATCACGAAAAATAGAATTAATGCTGACCCTTCCTACATAAGTAATTTGTACACACGCACATCCTTTTAAAACTAGGGAATGGTTGGGAGTTTAAACTATTTGTAGTTCAAAGAGTATGTTTGAAATGTCCGCCACCATATTTTATGCAAAAATGCAGTCGGGCTGTGTTATCGAACGTAGAAAATCGTCTGACTACTCGCGTTTATTATGAACAACACCTCGATCAACTCAACTACCAACTATGGATTTCTGATGCAAAGCTTGACTCAGCACCAGCAGCCACGTCATGAGGGTCGTATCGAGGTTGGAAGCGGTATATGCACAGTATCTATGAGATTAAAAAGTGCGAAGGCTATTTGATAAAAAAATACGAAAGACAATAACACTTATCGAATATTCGTGGGTGAATGAAGAGCAGAAATATAGTGAGAGTGAATAATTTGATGCTGATCATATTATTATCGTTTGTCATTTAGATCTGTGGCGTTGCTTTTGAATATTTGGCTTAACAGCAACAAATGCTTCAAGTAGTTTTCAATTACACAGCCCAACAAAAAAAAAGTTGTTAGTCCCAAAAACGTGATAATGGTACTTATATATTTTTGGGATTGCTAAATCCGAATCCAGGGTCACTTTGGCCCTATCAGATCTTTTTCAAGATCAGTTAAAGATCAAATCATCAAAATTTATAAAAAATTAACTAAAAGTATGGTATCTTGGGTTTTTTTCGATCGCCCACTCGAAATTAAGCGTCAGTATTATCCTATAATGTTAAATTTAAGGTCAGTTCAATGTCAGTTCAAGATCATGAACACAAAACTATATTATAGTTAGCTTTATTTAAAATGTTAGAAGTATATACAATTCAACAAAATACCTATAAAAATTTAAGTGTATTACTCTTTTTTATAATAATTATAATATTTTTATAATAATATTACTCTTTTTTATTGTCAAATGATCTACGAAGTGGATTACGCTTTCGCTTTTTTGATGTTGATGGTAAATCTCAATGCTTTCTTTTTTTAACAACCAACAGTAATATGTTAACATATTTGATTCTAGAGTTTAACGCACAAAGTGCGCAGGAGGGTGGAATATGTCAAATATTTGGGGATGTATCGCCGTACAGAATTTGTCCTACGGACAAATACGGACAACGAAACGGTATACTGACACTTTTTGACTATACGAAAGCGTGAGAAAGCTCATGTGAATCTATTGACTAACAATAAGTAAAGTGTATACTTGTACGGGTTTCATGTAAATTGCTCCAAAATAGCTGCTCCACAGCTCATGCATCTCCATTATCCTCGATGTGTTGATTAGCTTGCAGGTAATATTGACTAATGTTAGCTCTTGTCAGTAGCTCCTCTCTCCAGTTCGGGTACGAACGGATTTTAATGAAAACGGGCTTGTCGACTATCGAGGTCAAAAATAGTTTGTATAAACGTGATTTAAGTGATACGTGGAATAATTCACAAACCGATTTTCGCGCACAAACCGTTTGACTGAAACCATCCCTATGAAACATCTACCGAACGCGACTAAAAGTATGTTACAGTATGCGAAGAAAAGTTATAGTGGATCTGATTACAAAATAACTCCAATTAATTCTAAATCTATATGTTTTCTTTTATATTGTACATACTTATAAGAAATTCCCCCCCCCCCCAACGTGATCTCACCGATTTCAATAATTTTTTGATTTGTTATAGTTAGAAAAATAAGACATGTTTTTTTTTATCAGTGGAAAAATAATTTGAGGAGGTGAAAACCGCCTTCAAATTTCACCCTAAAAATGAATTTTCCAATGTATCTCAGCTTCTAATTGATATTTTACGATGTAAAAAATTTCATATCACTTCTCATGTGAATACGAAACTAGCGCATGCAATTCAGATCATAAAGGGTGTGACCCTTATTTTTTTCTACCTTTATAAGGGCGGTTTTCGTCCCCTCAAAGTGTTTATCTACCAATAAAAATACACTTATGTCTTATTTTTTTATGAACTACACAATATCAAAAGATTATTGAAATCGGTGAGGTTGACTTGGGGGATTTTTTTGTTAGTAGATATGTCGATCAATGAAGAAAAATTAGACAAGTTAACAAATTTTACCACCGTATTATTTTTTAACGACGTTTCCTCAGCAATTTTGCTGACCTCATGAGACTAGTCACCCGACATCGAACTGTATGTAGGCTAGAGAATATTTCTCAATACCAATGAAACTAAGAAAAGTTTCAGTTTGACTGGAAAAGTTTGTTTGAAGATTTCTCACAAAAAATGGCTTACTACGCAACTTATTACTTTTCGAAGTCTCGAAGCGGATCGACTCACAAACATGTCAGTGTTTATAAGCTCGTCTCTCTTGCATAAAGCGATGAGTAAACATAGTCGCGCGTTTGATGTGTACTTTTTAGTAGAAACTTGCGAGATTAAAAGAAAGAATTTCCTTTCTCCATGCTTTTTCACTCCGTTTACTACTCACTTGGTTTCTACTTATATGCCTACCTATAATTCTTTCAAACTTTCTCTTCAGATAAGAAAAGTCAAATAAAAGAATCTCTCTTGCAGCTGATCTCATAGCAGTGAAGGAACAAGTACTTAGTCTACTTATTTTTGTCTTAGCAGTTGGCAGCTTGCAGTGAGGAGTCTTGAAGATTTTCGACTCCTGACCTCGATTGCATCTCGTTGAATTTGCGCTACGCGTCAAAAAGTATAGGAATTATGTATTGCAAAAGTCGCGTCAGTCTTCTTCTTACGTTTGATGGACTGTTAAGGAACTAAATAAATATCGATCGCGGTTACAGTTTATACAAGAATTTTCGTGCCATTTGGTACACAATACTTTGCATAGAAACATTTTTTCACATAACTGTAAATATTTTTTACCTAATTTTCTACACAATTTGCCACAAGAATATTATTAACAAAATTTTTTCATATACATTTGAAAAAGTTATTTTAAAAAATTTCGGCTTTAAGTATGGTATTTAAGTGTTAAACAATAAAACAATGATCTACGAAAAATTTTATTTATTAGATTGCTATAAATAATAACCTGATATCAAAAGTAATCAATTTATTAGAGTATTTTATTTCTTATTGTTTCTTGTTAATGAAATATAATTTTTATTACAATAGATCAATTAAAAATAGAAACTTTATTGTGATAATAACAGAGGTTCGCTCCCAGCTCTTACAAGAGTCGTTGGAAGAGATGGAAAATTATCCAGTCGCTGAAATTGCGTGCATTCTAGAGTAAAATTTGTATCTAATTGTTCATATGATTTTAACAGCATAGTCTGAGTAAGGAATTTGTTATTCGACCTTGAAGAACTATTTGATAGTAATTCTGTAGATATGTTTTCATTTTCAGATAGCGTATTTTTCCAATCGTTATTTCCTTTATTTTTCTTGTTAATTTCATGCTTTATCAAAGTTGATTGTGGGTGTAGACTGATAAGATCACAAGCAGGTCCTAGAATCATCAAATTGATAAATATTCGTAACGTTGTCAAGATCAAATAAGCTAATATTATAAGTAGGATGTTCATTGGCTTTGCTGAAGGTGTCAAAGTACTGCATAATACTCGAGCGATTGCAACACTAAGAGGTAGTGGAATAAAGCCCATCCTTCTGGCAACTAAATCAGAAGGGTCGGAACAAGCTGTTTCTTGTCTTGTTTGAGCCATGTCATATGCTAAACTAACAGTATATTCTCTATATACTATTGAACATAATTCGTTAAAACGAGTAATGAAAGCATGTTTCACCTGGAATAGTTCATTGCAATTATTATTATTATTAGCTGGTGCGATTTTATATATTTTGAATTTATATTGAACATATTTTATTTTCAGAATCATTTCAAATGGATTTTCATATTTGTTCTATTTATAACTCTGATATAACAAAAAACATCAAAAACGAAAAAGATTTTTATTTGATATCGTTTTCTTTTTATTTTAGATATATTCACGAATTTTTCTTAAACGTTCAGATTGGGTTAAATTAATTTATAGTTACATCCTATTTTTTATCACAGAAAATTGATATATTTTCCGTGATAGAAATAACTTATAATTGAAGCATTACATAAATAGAAATACTTGAAAATTTATTTATCTAATAGTGAGAGAATAGGGAATTATGATTCAACTTTATTAACTTTTCTATTCTTATTTATGATCTTATTAATACTCTATTAATCCCTCTACAATAAAGAAATAAGCATTTTATTTTAATAATGCTGTATAATAATTCTGTAATTATTTTTATTATATAATTGTGATGTATTCATCACAATTAGTATATAAAATGTATAATTATATAGTTACGCCAATTTGTGTTTCGCTGAGAGTCTTGTGCCGACGCCGGTCGAGCACAGAGCCTTTGACAACGGATTATTATATCACCTTACTATTAATAATACTACTTATATTCAATCATTAAAGTGCTTTGATTCAATTATAGTGAAATACCCTCCTTCGTATGAATTTATTAGTTGTATAGATATACACGGCGTAACAAAAGTACCGAAACGATCCTGTATTTTTTCAGGTAAGGTATTTTTGTAAAAGGTTAGGGTCAGGTCTTTCGTAACTTTTTACAAGGAATTCAATGGTGACCTTGGATTTGACCTTGACCTCACCTTTATGGTTATTTCAAAGTCAACTTTTTTTCAAATGGAAACCCCTCTTTTTCATAGCGGCAATTGAAAGAGCAAAAAATTTTACCCCAAGCACCCCGAAGGGGACAGTATTGACTACGTCCACGCAGTTGTTCCTGGGTAATGCTACAAGTAAAAACCAAAATATCAGAAAATTAAGTTCGTGATTAGTGATTCCAAAAATCACTGTACAAGCTGTATTTCCAACGATACTGATAACATGGGAATGTGACCTTTATAATCTACAAATTACCGTAGCGTAAAATTTTTCAAATATATAAAAATATCAAAAATAGATGTTCTCATTTGAAAAAAATTTACCAACTTTACCACTGGTCGGGTCTTGGTGTCTAATTTCCCCATTAGTCGGTTAGATAGCATCGGTTTTATCTTATTCGTCAATCGACCCCTATCACAGTCGTCATTGGTAAGTCTAGTCGCGCGCGTTGGTCAGTTTCGCGTTGTTATCGTCTATCCTTTGCACGCATACGCTCGTTAGTCCTCCCGATCGCCCCCACATGAATGTCAGTATTGTCTGTCTCGGTCTAGCTCAAGCGCGTCGCAACATAACCGCCGCTCGGCTCACGCGTTAACATCGCGTCCTATTGCCGCTGTTCCTGTTGTTCCCCGGAGCGCGTTGATCAATCGTGCGTATGTGTGTGTGTTTCCGACAGTCCTTCGGGTGTGCTAAATGGTCGGCCAGTGGTGTTAGTGTGTATGTGCGGTGTTCCCCTTATGCGTTAACTAGCAGGATCAGCTGATCTCAGCTGCGATCTTTTTCGTCGCCTGGCTTCCTGGGGAAGTGTCGGTCCGAGTTGCTGTGCGTGATAGTGTATGTCCGGGAGTGTAAGGATCGTGCGCATAGATTTGGGCGGGTCCTGAAAACTGTTTTTTCGCGAGGTCTCGGGGCTATTCATATGCTCTTATGTGAGCTGATGGAATCAGCTGATCGGGCGTCCGCGTCTTCTTGTCGGAAGAGGATTCTTCGTCAGCCCTGTAGGTCGGGCTTTTCGCATGATACCGCATCATCACAAACTATGACAGAACAATTCTTGCATTCTTTACTAGAGTTCGAGTGAATGTATTTCGAGCCAGATAGAAATGATTATTGTGATTTATTTTGAGTTGTCCCATAACTAAAAAAAAATAGTTTAAATCATTAAACGTTTAATTATATTTCAGATAATGGACGACTATATTTATAAAAGAAACGGTTTGACAAATTATAGTAAACTAGAAAATGCATTTGTGAGTTCTTCAATGATAACAAGTACAGTAACGCTTAATGATTTTTGCCACCCTGTTGACTAAAAACCTAACATTTTAATGTTTTATATCTCGACTTGGGGTAGTTGTGTAAAACTCTGTGGGTACTCATTTCGTAGGGTTTTTTAGTATCTATTAAGTGATATAAACTACATGTTTGTTTTTTAATTATTTTCAAAACTATGACATCAGAATTAAAAAATGAAATTGAGATTTTTTTTGCCAACTTTGATCCGATATAATTTAATAGGATGTGATGGAAGGTACTACTGTGGGCAAAAAGTAAGGTGAGTTTTCAATTTAAACTTCGCGGGCTTAACATTTCGGGCTAGTTCTTTTTTTCTTGAGTTGGTAGGACTGCGAATGACATCTGGGACAAATTTCATGTCAATGTCATCATCAGTAATATATTTACGCTTGTATTTACCAAACGACCAAAAGTGCATGTTTCGATTTTTACAATGTCTGATTTAATTGAGCAAAGAAGTGCCATCAAATTTTGTTTGCGGAATGAAATTTCGGCTGCGGAAACGTTGAGGATGTTGCGGAAGGCCTTTGGTGATTCTACCATGTCGCAGAAAAATGTTTATAAGTGGTACAAAGACTTCAAAGAGGGTCGAGAACGTGTTGATGACTTGGAGCGCTCCGGACGACCATCGACGTTAACAGATGACCAACACGTCAATAAAGTGAAGGAATTAGTGCTCGAAAATCGTCGGTTGACTGTTAGAGACCTTACTGATATGATCGGAATATCAGAAGGATCTGTGAAAACAATTTTGAAAGACCATTTGGGCCTACGAAAAGTCAAATCTCGTTTCGTACCGAAAACGCTCAATTTCTTGCAAAAAAGTCGCCGCGTTGATGTGTGTGAAACAATGCTTTCTGACTATCAGGACAAGCTCAAATGCATGATTACGGGAGATGAGACTTGGATTTATGCTTACGACCCTGAAACAACCGACCAATCAAGCGAATATCGTGCTAAAGGCGAAGCCAGACCGAAAAGAGCACGTCAAAGTCGTTCAAAAATCAAGGTCATGATGACAGTTTTCTTCGATTTTCGTGGTGTGGTGCACTATGAATTCCTTCCACCCGGCTAAACTGTTAATAAGGAATATTATTTGAGCGTTATGCGTCGTTTGCGTGAAGCAATTCGTCTAAAAAGACCAGAATTATGGGCCAACAACTCTTGGTTTTTGCATCACGATAATGCACCATCTCACACTGCACTCGTTCTTCGTGACCATTTCGCCAAAAATTCGACGCATATCGTTCCGCAACCACCGTATTCGCCTGATTTGGCTCCGTGTGACTTCTGGCTATTCCCAAAACTCAAGAGACCACTCCGGGGAACGCGTTTCGAGTCGATTGAGGAGATAAGAGCTGAATCGAAGAAGGCGCTGATGGCTATACCGGAAAGGGACTATTTGGCATGTTTGGAGGATTGGAAAAAACGTTGGCATAAGTGTATTTTATCGGGAGGGGATTACTTCGAAGGGGATGACATTGATGTAGAAGAATAAATAAAGATTTTTCATTTTACAAACAAATTCACCTTACTTTTTGCCCACAGTAGTAAAATCTGTCTTTACCTTTTGAAAGCTTATCTCAAAATCTGCTACAAAAACAATGCTATAAAACCCATGTCAGAGAATATTTTTTGAGCTGAATCATATTTTATTAAAAAACATATGTTTACGAATCAAATCGTTATATTTCGGAAAATATAATCTTCACAAAAAAAAAACTCTAAAAAAAAAAGTTGTTGCATTTTGGTCAAAAAAACCATTTATAAACATAAAACGATAAAAAAACATTCTTTTTTTCATTTTTTTAGGTTAAAATTTTTTTACATTTTTGGAAAAAAATATTTACCTCTATTGACCGAATATGACTTTTCAACGTAAACAAAGTCGAGCATATTAAAAATATAAGTTTGATTCGTGTGTTGTTAAAATTATGTTTCGGTTGCTTTGATGTTTAAGAACAGAGAACAGTCATTGCCTTATGTCCGGTTTTGTGAATAATTATTGTTCCTATTGCTAATCTTGTGTTTGTTAATTAAAATGAAGAAAAAGAGAAATTTGACTGTTGAACAACGTACAGAAATAGTTGCTTTGCATAAGTTTGAAAAAGTAATCAAAAAAATGTTTTAATTTTCAAAAAATCCAAGAACCGTTGATTAAAACATTGACCATTTTAAATCTAAAGGGAATATTACAATCAAAAATAATGAAGGAAAATATAGAAAGACAACAAGTGTTCAATTCAAACATATTTGTAATATTAGTCGCCGTAATCCAAGTTCAACTACTCCTGAAATATCTGCCATTGCCAGAAAAGATTTTTGTATTAGAGTCAGTGTTTCATCAATAAAGAGAAAACTGAATGAGAACAGACTGTATGTTCGAATCACAGCTAAAAAACCTTTGGTAAAGGATATTAATAAAAAGAAACGTTTGAAATGAGCAAGGAAAGATATGGACTAGACTGTAAATAATTGGAAGAAAGTCCTGTGGTCACGTGAAAGTAAATTTGAAATATTTGGTAATAAACACAGATATTTTATACGACGAGCGCCCAATGAATGATTACACAGATTTGCAAGCTAATGGGTTGTGATTGCTGTTGGCCAATGAAAGGTCATTTCCGAAGTAATTTTTTGCGTAGAATTCGAATCTTTCAGAATTTGGTCATGACGTCAGATTTATTAGATATCCTAATCTAAAAGGGTAAAATAGCAGTTTTTGGTATATTTGAGGTTCCACAATAACGCGGAAAAATTGTTTTTCTGAAAATGGGGTAAAACCATCTGAAAGGTATACTCTTACCCTT